GGAAAAAGTACAAAAATACAAGAATCGACATTTTTTTGGTCCTCATAATCATCGGCGATTCATCGAAAGAGTGAACATCGACCAAGGAGAATCATTCGTGGTACGTTCAAGAGTTGATTTGTTCTCGAATCCAGTCCATGTAATGAGAAATCCTTGTGTAGACTCCAGGCAAATTGGGTTTGGCGCATCCAATTCCGGCTGAGACGACACCGATCAGGATCAACTTTCCGTCTTTCTTAACAATCATCGGACCCCCACTGTCGCCCTGAAAACACACGTCTTAGAATTCTCTCGAGTTTCTTTTCAAAGAGAACGAATATATATGTCATTAAAAATTGTTTATTTGTTTTCATGGATCTCAGAATTCGGAAATTTTTTTCAAGGTTTTCTTATACGGGGATTTCGATAGTTTTAGAAATTTCAGACTGCTCACAGGTGGAGGCAGACTGCTTTTCAATTTTCTCAGATGCGATTTTCAATAAAATTTTTCCTTCATAAAGTTGTTTGTGGATACTTTCAGTTTTCCACACTTACCTGACAAGCATCTTTGGCTCCGATGTCATATCCAGCGCAAATTTGACCCGCATGGATGTCAAACCACTTTTTGACCTTAGATCGACACACAGTGTTATCCAATATCGGCAGATCAACTTTTTGTAGGACGTCAGCCTTGTTTCCTCCTGCGAAACCAAGTTTAAATTCAAATAAATCGTTAATGTCCGTTTTGGGTTACATTCTTGCGTTTTCATCATGCGCGGGTGTTATTCCATTCCGCATGAAAATCATGTGAACTGATACTTAATTCACGAGATGTGCATGCTGTAATCGGGAGTGGCGTAAAAAGTTTGGTTATACTTTGTCCCCTTTATTGGAAGCGACTCTGCTGGGGTAGGCTAGTGGCACCTGTAGCACGGCTGCCGAAGCAGCTGGGGTGAGCCCAGTCGCTCCGTCTGGCCGCTCCAGAAGTTGTCCCATTGTATGAGGCCTTCCTTCACCTTAATTAGGGCCAGGTCGTTGTTTAGGCGAATGGAGTCGAAGTTGATATGCATGAATTGGAAGTGCCCAGCGTCAGCCATGCTTAGGTTAGGAAAAAGGCCACTGTCCTGTAATACAAGAGCGTAGCGCTAGAGGTGCTTAGATAGGTTCGGGGACCTTATCCCACTTTTCCTCGTTTAGAGGACATCACCAAACGCACGTGGACGAATCAAGCTCAGTGTAAGAAAATATTGCAGCAATGTGCAATGATTTACAAGCACACCCTTTTTGAACAAATACCTTCTTCATATGCTGGTGGGGTCAGCAAAAATGTGCAGTTGAATATATTCGCTCGATTTATCCCTATTATACTCTCGCTCTGTTCAAATTATTTTCAAAATTCTTCATTCAACACTGGGATGGATCAAGATTATTATTGAATCAATTGGATTCCTGGTGATGTAATGTTTGAAAAAATCCCCGATAATTTATTTTACTCAAGGGTGTAACTTCATAAACTCATGTCTATAGCTCCATTTTTTTTAACGTTTTCATTATATTTCCAAGATAAATTTCCAAAAATGAGCAGTTGACGGTCTCTGATTGAGTGCCTCAGTGACACCATGAAGGGAAATTCTCCGCGACCTGCTTCGGATCCACCGACGATTTTCCTGTCTCTGGAAGTTCCGAGGCCGCATTCTGCGTCACCAGCCACTGCGGATTGAAATTTCATTGGATCAAAACTGTGATGATTTATTTCGGTAACAATAATCCTGTATCGGAAATCATCAATGCCTGAGATATTTTGAGTCTTTTCCATTAAATATGATTACACTTCTGCGCTCACACGTTTCGCTATGCATTCCAGTATATTTAAAGTGAGCCTCACTTGACACCTCGAAGAATTTTTTGAGAGACAAAAATCATCGTCGTCGTGTCTATTATCTCGTCTGCGTAAACTGACACTTTTTCAAAGTTCAGAATTTAATTTACTCGCAAATGATTATCTCTGGTAACAACGGCGTTGATGAAAAATAGTCGTAAGGATCCTCATAAGATTTGATTGGTAAATAAAACGCTTACTATTTATGTACGCCTGAGTTGAGGAGATGACTGCAAAGAGCATCACACCACAAGCTACCGCAGCAATCGTCATTTTTTCTTATGTAGTTTTGCAAAATATTTCGGAAGTTCAGGTCATCAGCCAGAAAGCAGCGGACGACACGAAATACGACCTGTGATTGTTGACATGCAAATCCCAGGCCCCCTCTTTTTATACGTGACGGGATCCTGCCCCGCATCATCTTCGTGGCAGGAAAGAGATGGCAAAAATCAAAGCCAGAACTATCCGGAATATAAGGCGATGCAGGTGTGGTGCATACGGGCATTTCTGCCGACCCTGGCAATGAACGCTTCATCGTACCGGAAGTCAGGGTCGATCTGCGGAAGACCAGGGTGGCGGAACGCGCTGCGACTCGCCGTGGCCCAACGAATGTCACTGTCGCTTCCGCCCGCACTTCCGCGGGATAAACTGGCGGCATTCGCGATTTCACCGTTAATGGGATATACGCAGTTACACTGAGCATAACGGGGGTTTTATTTGTGGGGTGCGGGGCATCTTTTCTCGGGTATCATTACGTTAGCTTTCCAGAGCTTTTGAACTTATTTCTAGTCCAACTGTTGCTTGAATCTTCAGTGGTTGTCCCTTGATGGTGCATATTAGGATATTCGAATTTTCACGACGCAACTTCCGGAGTCATTCTTGGCATAAAACGTTGTTGGGTATGAATGACATTTTCGAAGAAAACATTTTGTTACCTCGCATCTCAGCGATCTGAGATAAGCTCTCCAGTTAGTTTCCTTTCATGTAAAGATGACGCTCCACGTCTCAAAAAAAAATACTTTATATCATTCTTACGCGTGAAATCACTTTCCTGCAATGATTTGATGATAATCTTTTCAGTTCCATATCGGCGGGCTGGATGCTGATGAAGTACCAAATTTGCTTTTTTCATGTTCCGTAGATATTAATCCACGCCGAAATATTAATCTCATTTCGTTGGTAGTCGATCGTGACGGACAATTTTGAAATGTTTCCTGCTTGATGTCATTGTCCTGTAGGGCAAAGACCTTTCCTACAACATTTGCAGTAAATTATTATACTGCCTTCTATTTTTCACAGATATGCCGCTGAAAATTGAATTTTGAACTCATAAGCCTGAAAAAAAGAAAAATCGACGAGGAAGGTTTTGAAAAGTCAAGAAGACGTAATAATTATTTAGATAAGGACAATTTTTTATTTTATTTTGCATTTTCTCTTCACCAGCTAAGCAAAATATTTTCCAAAGATTTCGACCGACATGAGGAAGTCGCCCACGATTTTGAAGTTCGCCAGAAACTGGATTTTATACAAAGGAGTGTTATTTTAAAGAAATCTTTAAATTTCGATGGCAATCGATCACGTGACTCCGTTTCTTTATGCAAAAAAAAACAGGCTTGCTTGTTTTTCAGCAATAATATACTGGTGGAATAACAAGTTCTCACGCTGGAATCCATGACGAAGGTATTAAGTGAGGAAAATCTCTTCGCAGTTAGTGAAGGTCGTGATGTTGAATGAGTGCATTTGGAATCTGAATCGATTATGCCGTACATTCGACAGAATAATCGCAACAAAAGTTCTGCTTTGTTCATGATTTTGGAAATTCTATTAAAATCGTTGGAAAACAATATTCGAGTGAAATCTTCAATGCGCGGCGCTGAATTAGACGACATTTAATCAGGATTCTGATTTATGAAAGGGAGCCGCAAGCGTATCTTAGTGCATTTTGTATACGAGTATGTGTGGCTGTGTGGAGAATTCTGGATTTTATTGAAAAATACTGCAGCGTATCATAAAGTGTGAAGATATCATAATTTTTTGAATGTGAAAGACTGTCTTTGAATCACGTAGAAAACGTCGCTTAGGAAAATCTTAGCGGGCAATAATGTTAAAAACGGAGGATTATATGCGCATTAAGAATAATCCTTCCGAGATTTTTTTGCAAATTACGAAATATGCTCCTGAGCATATTTGCAAGACCAGTTGTGTGTGCAGATTATTTTCTCGAGATTCAGGTTTTATTATTTTCTTGGACGTATACGTTTCTTTAAAGCAATATGACAAAAGGCTTTCCGAACAGGGTGCAACTAGTATTTTTTCACCTGGTCTAGATATCGTCACTGGAGTTTTATTATTATTATTGAAGTCTTTGGGTCATCTCCCTTTTCACATTTGTGCTCAGAATTGTTGAAGTGCATTCAAGTGGATTACCGGAACTTTATTTTTTCACCTGGTCTAGATATCGTCACTGGAGTTTTATTATTATTATTGAAGTCTTTGGGTCATCTCCCTTTTCACATTTGTGCTCAGAATTGTTGAAGTGCATTCAAGTGGATTACCGGAACTTTTGAGTGATTGCACCGACACCGTGAACGAGATAAATGTCATAAGTGCGAATGAATCGCGTTCGATTTTAAATCAGGTCTCAAGTGAACGAAAATTCATCTCCTTAAAAATTTTGTGCGAGCCGCGTACCGACGTTTAGAAATGTATTATTTCTTCAACAGCTGTGCTAATAGAACACTGCATATCTGTTGTATTTCCGTATGGAATGTGGACTGACTTCCCACCTCAGCATTAACCTTGGGTTAAAATTATTTTTAGCACTAGTTCATGATTTTTTAAACATTGTTTATACTTTTCTTGAGCCCTTTATGTTTTGACGTTATGAAATTTCGGATCCTTGAGGCAGAAGATATTAAATTTTAATCGTGTTCTTCTGCCAGCTTTTCTGTCACAAAAACGGGCTGTAAAGAGTTCCAGCGAGAAAAAATAATACTGGGTAGACCGGAAAAAAGCACGGTGAGTGTAATTAAATATTTCTGAGAGCAGTTCTCGTTGAGACGTTATCCTACTTCGGAAACGTCGAGAGTCCTCGGTTCGTCTGAGAAGTAAGGCCATCGGGATGTGACATACTCAAAACAAATTTCTTTGTAGGCATTGTGTTTTAATTTAGATGACGGATACAATGGATTCCCGGCGATTTGCTTCAGATTTAGTGATAGATACGCGGGAAATCTCGCAGTCTCTCGCTCCGCCGATGTGCGAATTGGTTCCATGTCGGATGACCAGGACTCAGAAATCAATCCTAGTTTTGCTGGCTTTGCTGAAATTCGTCGCCATGGGACTGTTTTCCGTAATTGCGCCGTACTATCATTTGGAGGTCAGCTAGAACAATTGAGTCCTTTTCGACAACAATTCCCCGCTGAAGACTTGGTAAACCTTGCTTGACGTTTGTAAATGTCCTTCTGCTCTATATTCAGGCCCATCAGAGGCAACTATCTGACGTAATTGTCGGAGCTGTTTTCACTGCTTATGCCGGAGCAAATTTTCTCACTTCGCCAATATTTGGGAGAATTGTGAGTTCCTGGATTGCAGAAAGTTAACGCGGAAATTTATTTTGGTATTTTTTCGATTTCGAAGATTGCCGAAACAGGCCCTCAGATCGTCCTGTTACTCGGATCTTCCCTACTTGGAATTTCGGCCGTGTCATTTTCGTGGGTACATCTTTTGAGCTTGTACATAGGATTGTTCTATGTTTGACTGTATTTCTAGATTTTTGACTTCAGTATCGGACCCGTCAACATTTTGCGCGCTGAGTATTTTCGTGAGGACGTTGCAGGGCATTGGTTGTGGAGCAGCTGGTACTGCAATTTTCACATACGTTGCCGAAGTTTTTCCTCGACGAACAGGAATTATCATGGTAAGAAAAAGGAGAAATCTTGCGCTGAAATTGTATGATTTCCCTTCTTTTTCCTCTTCAGGGTGTGATGGAGGTTATGACAGCGATAGGGTTGAACGCTGGTCCAGCAGTTGGAGGCTATTTACACTCTGTAAGAATAGTGCGAGGATTCACGCATCCAGAGTTTGAATTGTGACATTTTGTGTTTCTTTGAGGTTGGGGGATTCAAACTCCCATCACTGGTTCTCGGTTTTATGTGCCTGGCAACAGTGCCACTGAATGCATTTCTTCTACCCCGTTCCATAAACGCGGAAAATTGTGTTCCGAAAACTCCGCGAACGTGAGCATCGGGGATTTGTGGGATTTTATCGGAATTCACTGAATTTAAAAGGATTTGCATTTGTCAGACCCGGAGGAAGACGAGTTAGCAAGTGGACGCTCTTGATTAATGTGCAATTCATTGTCGCCGCTCTTTCCACGACTGCGGTATCTTGTGCGTCTGCATTCCTCTCTCCTTTGTTGGCACCGCAGTTGAGCAAGGTTGAATTCCTCTTCCATTGTAGCTTCTTTTTCGCATTTACTCATTTGGAGAATTTTTTCGTGAGAAACGTTGTATTTCCAGCTTGGGATGAATACGTCGCAGATCGGGATGATGTTCCTTTTTTCTCCGATTGCCTACGGCCTGGTTGGTCCAATTGCCGGGTGGATTTCTGACGAAAATCCGAAATGGAGGCGTCTGCAAACATCTGCGGGTCTCGGCTTGTTGTGCATTGCCCTGCTGTTGCTCGGTCCTTCGCCAATAATTGAACGCATCTTGCGTAGGTTTGTGCAGTTTTTTTTTTCCATCGTTTCTTAGTCCCATTTATTTCGAGGGAGACGCGTGATTCAATTTAAGGGACGAAGTCTCGTCAAATCGGATGAGTGAAGTTAAAAAAAAAAAGAAGTTACAGTATATATCTCTTGATTTGCAGCGGAGTCTCGCTGAGCATCGTCGCTCTGTGTATCAAGGGTTTGGGCTCTACGATCGCAGTGGTGCCAACTTTTCAGATTATGCTCGATACTGCCACGTAAGTCGACTGCTCCTTTTGAAAACTCGATACGGCTTTAGAAAATTTCCCATTACGTTTAGGAATCTCGGAATCCTGAACAATCTGGCAACCCACAGCATGATATCAGGACTCTGGTCTTCTGCGTGGTCCTTTGGGTTAGCAGAATTAAGAATTTAATTTGTGTAATGGAATGATTTTAATTACGACATTTTTTTTTTTGTGGATCAGAGAGGTTTTGGGTCCTACTCTCGGAACCGTCATATCCAGTTCGTATGGGTTCGGATGGGCCTCTACTGTTCTCGCTTGTTGGTCCATCGTCGTAGTGAGTGCATATTTTAATCATTCGAAACCGATCAATAATTTTCAAATTAATGACACGATTATATGACCGCAGATGATTTTGATGATTTTATCTCACTTCTGTCGCTGTTCTGGAAGAATAATCTATGCAAGATTCGAAAACCTCAGCGATTTGGAATAGATGGAACCCGGCAGCAGGATGTGAGTTGAAATTACAGCTCAAAATTGGATTCAATCATAACTATCATTTTTATGGAAAGTTATTTGTGCGGTTTTCATCAATAATCGAGCGGTCAGCGAATGTACAGTATTTGGAAGAAACCCACGAAACCTTTTTTTTTTTTATCATTCGGGGCTTGCAACATGAACTCCCATTTTTGTTCCGCGTTATTTTTTCATCGATTGAATGACTTTTCTTTCATTTGAATTTCTATCTGCTTTGACCAGGAGAATTCGTGCGAGTAATTGAAACTCGAGTGATATGTTCACTACTGGGAAACAATTTAATGCGTGCAGAAGTGGAAATAAAAAAACTTATTTTTAAATACTGGGTGCTGTTTTCTTCATCATACTTTAAGAGATTATCTTGCTGGAAAGGCGCAGCATGGCGGAAGTCGATTTGAAAGAATTCGCTTTTGTATCCAAGTCTTTTCACAGTCGTGCATAATTGATTTTGTTCGTAAACATCGGATTTAAAGTGACATGGATCACAAGCTCATGAATGTCAGATTTGGATAGTGCAACAAAAGGGCCTAACTCTTTTCCATGCACGGATAAATGCACACAATCGGGATAAGCTGAAATCAAATCCCATTACGCCCAAAAACAAAATAAATTACTGAATTTAAGATTTCTGACCATAAAGGAACAAAGGAATCCTTACATACCAGCGCTGATGAGTAAACTTGCAATTAAGTGCCCCATTGCAGAGCACTTGATATCATTAACTAGAAAAAGGCTTCACGCTCATGATAAAAGTCCCCCCCCCCCCCCAGATGAAAAGAATGGTGAAGCCAACTTCGATAGTATATTAGATTTAGGTCAGATATTTCAGATGATTGATGCAAATCATCGCAAAATAAGCTCAAAAAATGTCTTTCCAGTTTCGCAATGTCCGCCCTATCTATAATGTCATATTGCTATACACGAGTCAATACCCTTCAATCCACAGCATAAAAGCCCTGTTTTAAATAATTGAACTGAATGCAGGTTTGAATATGCGTTTGAATGTTTTAAGATTTTCAATATTTTCAAAAGTGGAAAGAATCGAATTTTTTATTCACAATTGAAAATGTAAATAACCGTCTTCCCTGTTTTTACTCGATTGCGTGGAAGTGAGATAGAAATATATAAAGATGAAGGGGTATTTTGTGAGATAATTGTGGGGGAGTGTACCCTACCTGCAGTTTACATACTCAATTGAAAATCAGTGTGTCGTGAGCTCTCCTCGTTAAAGATGGGATTGAAGTGATTATAGTTATTTCTCTATAGATGAGCAGAATACAGTAAAATACCATATATTGGGGAAATAATGGAACACACACGACGATTGAGTTTCCCCACACAAAAAGGCATGTATTTGTGAAAATACTTGTGCAGGATGGAAATTTTCAAAATATATGATCCAGATTACAAAATAGGCCGTAAAATAAATCCCGCCGGCGAGAAGAATCTCATTACTTCATGATATGATGTCTTACCCATAGAGGTCCTCAGAATTCCTAAGTTGCCCCACTTTCAAGATGGCTAAAGTTCGAGTCGCAACCACTGGTCTGAAATACATTACTACGGCTCTAAAGCATATACAGTACAGAGAACTTGGATAATTCCGGTCGAGTGCAGTACAAATATTCATGAGTAAGACTGCTCGGCTGACTGGCCTCGCAAGCGCCTTTTTAAAGTCTCGCAATGCACTCACTCATGCGAACGAGGTTCCTTGGCTCACCGATTCAAGCATCGAAGGTTCTTCATCCACACACAGCTGGAAATTACTTGAAAATGAGTAAAGCCGGTGCGTTTAAATATTACAGTATTTTGGTGCGCAGTAAGAAAGGAAATCTACCGTCCACAACAGCGATTGCAGTGCGAGGCGTATGCTCAAACTATTCCATCTAAACCTTTTCCCTTCAACTTGCTTCATATCATTGAACTCATAGTACATAGTCGAAAGCACGACAGTTGAAAATAATTGCCCGAAGAAGAAAACAAATCTGGAAAAGGACGAGGACGCAACTTTGAACAACATTCTTTTCGTTGCTTCGAAGGCGGCGGCGCCGTCGTCGTGCCACTCGGTGGTTTGTTCTGGCCCAATGCGGGCCGACCGAAAATTCCCCTCCCGCGATGAGAACAGTGGGTGCTTCTAAAGATTCAGGCATTTGTGCATGTTCTTCTCATCCAAAGAAATCACACGATGCTTCTTCGCCGGACCAACAGAGAAAAACCCTCATTTTCCCCACAAAAAATCAGGATTTCGGATGTGCCGGTTTCTATGCTCGCTCAGCATCGTTTGAACAGCCATCTATGCCTGAAAAACGGAATTGATTCGGAAGTCCTTCATCATTTTCCACGCAGGGAACTCCGTTTGAATTTCATTCAAGGATTTGTTCGCAAATCGCGAGGGCTGCGACGCATCGTAGAGGCAATTACCGTATTTACTTGAGTACCACGCGCAAATTTTTTCTCAAATTTCAGAAGAAAAAAAAAGGGGTGGGCGTCATAAGCGGGTACAAATTTTTCAAGAAGTTTAAGAAAGTTCTATGTGCATTATACTTAATCATAATGGAGAAATTCGGGAAAAAAGTGACAAGTTCTTTTTTGTGCTGAAAAAGTTTAAAATAGGTTAGATTTTTGTAAAATTCATGTTTAAAGTCAAACTGTTTGTTTCTATTTTCGAAATTTTGTGGTTTTAGATTTACTAAAATAATTGGGGGTGCGAGTCATACTCGGGGATAAGATTTTAGCCAAATTTCCAACTAAAAAAAACCCTGTGCGTGCCTTACTCGAGGGTGCGTGGTACTCGAGTAAATAGGGTACCTTTCTGACTCATTATGTAAGAAAACTATGGAACTCGTTTTTACCTCCTGTAAATCATCATATAGGTGCTCATTTCTTCTATTTTCATTTTTTTGTACGTGCGACATAGTATTTGGATACTGCATTAAATACATTTTTGGGCACGAACGACCATCAGTTCTACTCTTTTTTTTTTTTCAAAACTCTTCAAATATACTGTCTACTTTATCTTCGAGTCATTTCCTGAAGTGGCCGCAGAAACTCTGCGCGGGAAGTTTCAAGTGGAGCCATTAGAGTGCCTCGAAGCACAGGTTAGGACCCATGGATGTCTTTCACAGTAGTTCAGTACTAATACAATAAATTTTACGTTTAGATTAATGATGTCGTAATTTTGCAGTGAAGCTGATTCGAGCTGCTTGCTTCAAAGACATCGAAGGTTTTACAAACCGTAAGATGCAGCACCTCAGAAAAAAAGAAATGCTCATCGTCCGTCGCATGAAGCCAAATTCCTTCGGTCCACGGCGGCACCCAAAACGTCTAGGATTTCTCCGCTAGCGGATACTATGGGCTGCACGCAACCAAAGAACCCATGAGATTCTGGCGCTGGGGCTTTGAACAGTTCTTGAGCCGAGCTCGACTCCAGCGGCGAATCGCCTGGAATTCCCCCTGAGAAGAAATTCACCAATAAAAGATGAAAAACTGCGCGAATTCGTAATACATTTCCTTTGAAATATATTCCATCCACAACGATTCAAAAATACACATCGATGCTCCAGGTTTTTTTGCTTTAAAATTTCGCCATTTTGTCAAATGTAAATAAAAAGAGGACAAAATTGTGAAGCCTGTACCGATGAATAAAGAATTCAGTCGTTGCCAGAAACTTTCCGGAACATGCGTTGACGTCGTCTCGGGGTTTCCGTCCACGGAAAGTGACAGCCCGTCTCGCTTCCTGTTGGAGAATTTCAGAACATGGTAATGACACGAAATTAGGAAAATCCCCACCACATTTCGCAGCCGACATTATGGAAACTTAATGCACGGACTGCTCCCATTACGCTGTAAGCTACCAACGCGTGCGACGAACATTGTCATGGGCAACCTCACGGGAACTTTAATCCTCTGAAACTAGTCAACCCATCCTTATTATTTAAATACTGTAACACATATTTTAAATTTCGGAATAAGGATCACGAAANAAAATAAATATATGGATATCTTGAAGGGTTTGCGCGTTTGGAAAGTAAACTTCATCGCTGAAGTACAACATGAGGTTGTCGTGTTGAGAAAAAAGTTCCTTCTATGTGTAGCAATTTTAATCAAGGCATGGGCCGCTTCTAGGTCTTATTCAGAATTTAAAATTTATTTCCTTAACTTGTTAATTGAGTTAAAATATTATTTGGCTTTTATTTAACGACAAAATCCCGTTCTTGGCTTTTGAGGTTGACATTTTCCAGATAAGCAGCAATCAAAATTCTTTCACATGAAAATTCTGCGCGCTGAATTGTAAATGTGTCATTAATTCAGCCGAATAACTTATCTGGATTTCATGCTCCTTTATTCTGCTTATGCCTGACTCATTGTATCACCCACTTGTCGACCCGCTTTGATCCTCGGAAACCCCAAGGAACAGGTGCGCGAAGTACTTTATCATATGAAGCCCATTGAAAAAGCCCTGATGATAAGGACCTCTGAGAGAAGATATTCCCGAGGACCAAACGCAGGTATCTATCTTATTCAAGCACAGTGCGTACTCTTCCGAAGCTCATTCACCTAGTGATGCTGATGCAGTGCCATTGCCCGTCGGCCAGGAAAGTCGTCTGATCCTCGAGAACGTGCACGAGGCCGTTGTCGACGATGTACCGGATATGCGTCCGGCCCTGATGGGCGAACACTGCAATTAGGTCGCGGTCGCGGGGATCTGATTCATCGTCGTACGACAGGGAATTCGCAGCCCACAAAAGCAGGCCGTCGAGGCGAACCGTCTTAACTCTCAGACGGATAAAGGACGTCTCAGTCTCGTTCCTGAAAGCACACGGGAGGTCCTTCAAAAGCTCTGTTCGTGTCTCGGCGAATCGAAACATCAAGGATGAGACTCGCGCGCAAGATGGAACAATGTCTTGTGTATAGACGAGGGTATTGTCGGTTTGTCCCGGTTGAACGCGACCTCTGATATTTCTAAAGCTGATGGGATTCTTGAACAAAAATTCACGACATAGCCCATGATGTTCTAAGGTTCTGGGATTTTTTTTCCGGATTTTGAAAATGATTTGGTTTTTTTTTAGGTATAACCTGACAAATGTTTAGTCTCATGCAGGAAAGCTGTGACTGTAACTGGAAAGTTTCCATTTTTCATCATGCCGTAAATTGGAAGACTCTTTCAAAAATCTGAAAAATCCCAGAATGACCTCAGAAAATCATGGGCTATATGCCGCGAATTCTTTTTTGAACCACACCTACTTTCAAAATATCAGAGGTTGCGTCCAACTGGGACAATATAACCTCTGATGAGTATTTACCACGGGGTTGGATCGACAGTGGGCATGTAAAGGTATCCATTGCCACTTATGGCAAAGGCAGGCGTCGAAGATGAACACCCAGGAAACAAAATCCCAGCATCGCTGCTGAGTAAGGGAAGTGATCTGTGTTGGCATTTTCCCGGGGCGCAATCTCGACAGTTGGCAACGTTGACGCCTTGCACCGATGGCCCAGTTACGTCCAGAGCTTCTCCATTCAGCGATATCTTAATGAGCAGAAAAAAAAATGCATGCTCAGCAATACCTTGAAAGGTTAGATGAAAATCAATCCCATCGAAATTTCAAAGAAATTGACCAACGCTGCTTCAGGTGATGCGTTTTTAAAATCACTTTTCAACTGCTAGTCTCGAAAGGCATCGCGGAAATGTCATTTCATAAAAAGAGAACATTTCCGCAAAGTAATGTTTATTCTTGTAGTATTGCATCAACAACATAATTTAAATTTCTAAAAATGCAAGACATATATTACGAATCGAAATCTCCATACATAATTTTGTTCAGTGCTCCGGCAGAAGTGAATTTTTCAAAAAACTGTGAAGAAATCTGATGAAAAGAGTCCAGTTTAAAATGTAATATTTTCTATTTTCAAATTGTGCTCCCCCGTATTTTCTTGTCTCCTGACCTGGTCGATGCATCCGTGGAAATTGGCATCTTGACTGGGCAGTCTGGTCAGAGCACCGCTGGGCAATTCGGAGCGCGGTGCGCCTCCTAGAAACAAATTTCTGTTCAGCAACAGCTGCGTGAACCCACTCCTAGAGGCTCCTGTGACGGGTGGCTCGTCGTCGACTTTGAGATACCCTAGCCGACCGGTTCTGGTGATGGTGATTTTATGCCACCGCCATAATGCCACCTTTGTCGGACTCCTGGAGTTGAGAGAATGAATTATCGTTTTGATTCAGTCGTTCTTGCCTAACTTTGGGACGGAACACATATTTTTGACTAATATAGCGCTACCCTTGCAGGATTTTTGCATGTGCAAGTGTATTGGTGACTAACAAATGCAAGTAATCCACATGACTGAAAATTGTCTCAGCTGCAATGCGTAGATTCGAAAAGTACGGTATGCTCGAATGAGAGGAAGTTTGATAAAGAAAATGTTTGCGTTGAAGATAAAATGTCGCCATGTTGGTGAGAAACAAATAATTCATCACGGCTAAAATATAAGAAAGTCGTGGCTGATGATATATGATTATTTTCTGTCATTAGTGGTCAACACAGCAGAGCAAAAAAAAAAAAAACGAAAGCTTCAAACCTCAGGGGGCTGAAATTCAAAAACGATTGTTTCCTATAACTAATAATGGCAAATTATTTTTCTCGCTTTCAATCAGAAAAACATTTCTAACCGTCGACCATTCCCTGGCGGAAAGCGACAACTCCAGCTAAAAATAACCCATCACTTACTTTGTTTGCTTTGACCAAGACATTTTGCATTCTATTTCGTGAGGCATAATTTGCGATTTGATCGAACATTAAAGTCTCACTTCACGGCGATGGTTTCAAAGCCCAGGTTGAACTCGAACACGACACGCTGGTCGAGTAGGTAGACCAGGAAGTAATTGGGATCTTCGAGGTCGAACCCCCGAAGAACGTGCCCGGCGTTGTAGGCAACGATTCCGTCTGCTTTCTCTGGCTTGATCGACATCGACAGTTCGAAGTGCAGTGCCGCAGCAGCCCCGAGCCCGTCCAGTTCCAAGAACGACGATCCCCCGAACGACGGCACCTGAAGCGAAAAAAAGTAATCCCCGACTTTTTCGACGCTTGAACCCGGAAGGATAACCGGAGATCGATCAACCTTCGGGGTCTATATGCGAGTTATTCATATGCAAACTTTTCGAGAACGACGAGCTTTTTCGCGGGAAATGGCATGCTCAATTTTCCATGTCTTCCACTTTGGATCACTTCAGTCTTCAACATTGATGGCACAGCCTGATAATACTATAAGGCCAACACACTTCATAGTGCAACACGGGGATTATAAATCTCAAGAAATCAATCGGAAGGGATTCCGAGCAACCCCAATGGAAAGTAGAGTGATCCCGGAATCAGTGGAACATATCGGGATATCTGATCCCGTTATATAAAACTGTATCGTTGATATAGTTTCAAAGACTTCTGACTTCCCATTTCCCTCTTACAAGCCTTATCGATTTCGAAAAAAAACGTTCCCATAGAAACGTGGAAGCCATGATGAGGAACACGCAACGGGCATTATCTGATTGATGAATTATTTATAAAATATGGAAAAAATAAGCTGTAAAATGGAAGTATGGGTTGAATCACTCATACAACAGGAATACAGAAGTACTGTATCTTGAATATACGGCAATACGAAGAAATGTTACGCATATATTGGCGATGATTCTTCGATTTTTGAACCGTTTTCAATGAGTTTTCATTCACTTGTAAATTAAAATGGGGGCCCGAGATGTGGACATAATTGGTACTTATATATTTTCCTTAGGTCGGAATGGCCGCATGCCGAATCACGTTTTCCCATGGACTTCAATGGGAACATATTCAATGGGTTCTCTTGTTCATCAAAAATTACGAGTGAGTTCCCAACAAATTGAAAACGTAAGTTTTCAAAATCTTCAAAATACAGAAAATTACTGTGCAGAAGAAAGACACGCGGAATCTGATTTTTTGGCATCCGAAAGAGGTCAAGAAATGAATATCAAGAGCATAATTACACTCATCTGCACACATGAAAAAAAGCTCTGAAGAAAGTAGCAAAAATTAGTCTGTTTTTTTATTATGAACAAGTATTTTATTTTATAATGATTAAAAAAAATGGAATATGAGAAGATCATTTTGTTCAAGAAATATCAAAAAAGATTTTTGTCATAAGTTTCTCTTAGTCGAATTGTCGGTATGTCGGGGTCCCAGTTTATTTCATCAATTTCTAAATTTTTGAAAGTCGAAGAAATATTTTTATTGATTCAACAGTTTGATGGATGACCTGCGTAGAAAATATTTTTGC